GGTCGTGACTTATCCTTCAACTGTGAGAAGTATTTGGATGGAGTAAGTCGTGACTTATCCTTATACTGTAAGAAGTATTTGGAAAGAGTAAGTGAAGGTACATTACGTAGTCCCTTCTTAAATGGTTCACTGATCCCGCTCCACTTGGGATCCCTTCTTCCTTTATTAATTAACCAATCAGAGGTTGATCTTGGGCCGCACAATAGATTATGCACGCCTTCATCTCCACTTCCTTCCGGGCTCAGTTCCGAATTTGCTAATCGGGAAAGTGTCGGAAGGTGGCGAGCCTTTTCTATTGGTCACATCTTCTTGGTTGCCTCATCCCTCTCTGGGACTTGGCTAGAAAAAGGGTCCGCTTGGGCGTGGTCAATTTTCCAATGCGATCGACCAGATGTGGCATAGAACAATACAAGCATTGTCTTAAAGGCCGAGTGCGCACGTATGGTCATTGCATGTTGTTGCATGTACGGGTTTTGGGTTGCAGTAAATGTTTTGTACTCAATGCTTTTCAAAGAATGTTCAATTTTCATGATACTACTTGCTAGACGTTTTATTGCCTTACTAAACGGAGTCTCTCATTCTCAAACAGGTATTGATAAAAAGTAAAAATCAATTATCAAGTGAATCTTTAAAAAATGTAGAGAAAATATTAAAATTACTTTTAAACAAATTAATAAAGTATTCAATAAAACACAATATCAAAATTAATTGAAATAATATATTTTATAATATAATATAATTTCATTTTATTATTTTATATAATATATCTAATTTTATAATTATATCGTCTAAATTCTATGATTATTTTGATATCATAGATTTATCAACTATTGGGAAAAATAATTTGATTAATATCTTTATTTTCTTAATGTATTTATTTTTTGATTATATAGTATCTAAAATCATTTTTATTAAAATAAAATCTACTATATTAAAAAATATTAAGTACATATGATCAAGTAAAAAATATATATGACTACCAAGCCAACTAAGGTGTTCGGTGGTCTCCAGTTTTTTTTTGAAAGCGTCGACTTGTTTCTTGAGCTCTCGGAGTGCGAAGCACGGTGCTGCAGCGGCTGCATCCTGGTGGTCTCGAACTTCTCGCTCAAGAGCTCCTATTCGCCTTTCGAAGGCACGTAATAGGTCCACCTCGATCATCTGTACTGAAGTTGGATGAGCACCAACTACCTATTAAACATAATTTTAATTTATTTCAATATATCATATTTTAAGAAATTCTCATATACGTTGATCACTATTTATTATTTATTATATTAATATATTCAACTTAAACAACTTGCTATACTTGTATCTTAAAATAAAATATATTACATATTTTAATCTAGGCTTGAAGATTTTCCGTCAAATTTTATCTATTTAATTTTTTTATAAATTATTTAAATAAATAGTAGACTATAATTTAATTTTAAACAATTGTATAATAAGAACCTTAATAAAATATTAATATTTTATAATTCAATCATAAATTTTACTATTGTAATAATTTTGTTGAAGTTTCATAATAATATTATTAGTTTTATGTTATTTTAATTATTTATATTAATTTAAGCAATGTATTTAAAAAATAGATAATAGTATTCTAAGAATAGAACTCATATGAATATATTAATAACTATTTTAAAACTTCTATAAAAAACTAAATAATGCCACGTAAGGAATTGTCTAGGCAAGGCAAGTGATTAATTTCGTTATTTTTATTATATAACTTTAATATATAAATGCACATTGACAAATTCTATTATTTTTAAGATTATTCTATTATCTATTATCTATTATCTTATCTATTCTATTATCTTTAAAGAAATAAACTGAAATACTATTGAATGCATGTGAAAGTATTGAGTGTATCATTAACGGAAGGAATTAAAGAAAATTATAAATTTCAATTTTAATTATTAATTATGAGAAAATGCCATGAAATATTTTAAAGCCTGGAACATTACTAAAACAAAAAAAACAATATTAGAAATGAAAGTTTCTAAATAATTGAGTCTTTACCTGAAGAATATATGGGTCGTCAGGTGTATTCCCAGGCAGATGCGGCGAAATGTTAAAAATTTTGTTTCCCTTGCGAAGCTTTAATATATCCAGAGGACCCGCCTCTGCTGCACTTCTAAAGAGATCTACAGTCCAATTAAAAATATTTTATTTAAACATGTTATTTAAACATTTAAATATGTTCTAAAACTTTAAACTGAATTTTAACTTTAAACTATATTTAGAAAATATAGTATTACTTATAATATAGATATTTCAATTATTTTACCGATATATTTTAAATTAATATTTAGAAAAATTAATTATTATTTTTTCGTCTTACTAAAATCATTCAATTTTGCCTGTTTTTTATTTTTTTTATATTATTATTTTCTTCTTTTTTATTTATTACAAATTCTTTAACGATAATTTTAAATATTTGATTTATACATTTTATTTATCTAATGACATTAATTTAAACGTTTTAATTTTTGATTCAGAATATATTTGATTCAGAATTTTCGTTTGTACTTGAATAATAATGCATTGAAATAATTCTACATTTACATTATTTTAATAATAAAATACAAAGTTAACCTTGTAAAAGAATTCTGTAAAAAAAGTATTACGTTTTATAATGTATATTTCCTAACAATAGTTAGGAAAAAAACTTTGCACATACTATATGAAATTTCTTAAAAAATCTAATAAAATTTCTTAGATATCCTTAATTTTTATCACATGTCAAGTATGAAATCCTTGTCAATTATTTATGGAGTTACTTTAAGTAAATAATTAATTGATATTACATGTAATATTTAAAATATGACACAAAAATAATTTATTTATTTTATAATTAGTGTTTAATTAACAAACATTTTAGAATTGGTATAATCTATCCATACATATCTTTAACATTTGTCGGTAGTTTTTTTTTTTATTGTAACTGAAAAAGTGTAATTCATTCGCAATATTTATTTTATAAAATTTTAATTGGATATTGCTTGCATAAAAAGCTGTACAATGTAATTTTTATAATTCAAATGATATTGTTATTAGATTTTCAAATTATACATATATTCTCTAGCAATTAGTCAATTAAATTAAATGATATTATTGATTTTCTATCCGTAAAGGAGCGAAATATAATTTTAGTTTTGTTACAATAACTAGAAGATTTCCAAGGTATTGACAACTGTATTCTTGTTATATGTTACGTACTAATGTATAAACGGTATAAGATTTATGTATATAATGCGTAGTGTGCACAATATGTAAAGTAAATAGAAAATCACCTAAAAATATATTGTGAATTTATTTAAACGTACAGCATACGGACTATAAGACATTGTAAACTTTAGCAATGATCACAACGTAAAATTGCGCCTGGTTAGTTGTTTATAAGCAGGTGAAATACAGGCGTCTGCCGTATAGTGAGACAGTCGGTTGGTTAATCCTTCTATGCCATCAAACATAAGCAATATGCATAGGTTTAACCTATACAGATTTACAGTTCGATGGTATAGAATATGTATAATTTTTTTTTATGAGAGGAAAAAATCAGAATCGAATTTGAATTTAAATCAAGCGATCGTTCTACTTACAGTGACGACAGACTTATATAAATCATCTATTGAAACTTACTGAGTTAATCAACATCCAAAATATGTTCTTGTTTTTATTCACTAGGATTTTATGACATTTCGTATTTATCTTTTCTAGTCATTCAATGGTTCTATTGCCATAAAAAATGCATAGACCTCGAAAATATTCAATTGATGAAAAATGTAGTGTTCGACTATATACTAATCACTTAACCATACTATGTTATAATTATATAGTATTTGCCAAATTTATCTAATCAAATTTATAAACTTATAGTATTATTAAACTATATTTCATAAATTATGAAAATATAAAAAAGTATAGACATCTCAAAGATAACTAAAATAATAATATTGAAATTAATAAAATAAATTTGACTTATAGTAATCTGTATAGAAATTGTAAAATTTATATTAAGTCTGTTTAAAAATACAGAAGTTATTCTTAATATTAAGCTATCGTAAATATTAAAAACATACTTTTCCAGAACAAAAAAAATACTAGCAAAAAAAATATTTATAAAGAAATGTGTACATTTACTTTTTATATTTATTATGTACTTTTAAATACGAAATTATATAATTATCTAATTATAACATATGTTATTTGTTGTTATATCTTTTTATTATGTTTTAAATTATGTAATACGATTACATTATTAGAATAGTAAAGAATATGTATTATGTTAATAAACTTTGTTTGGGAAACTAAATTTGCATATGTATTTATGAAAATTTAAAATTTCATAAAAAATTTTTCTCTTTAATTTTGTATGTTAGAATATTTTTGTTATTTAGTATATGTTAGTATATTAAAAAAAAAATTTATCTCTCATTAAAATACTAATTTAATTTAGTTTATACAAATAAATTGTACTTGTGTCATTTCTTAAGTTGCAATTTTGTAACTATTCGATACATCAACATAAGATTCCATTACTATTATTAATATCATATTATGTTAAAAAAGTCATTCTATATATTTAAATATCAATGTAGAATAATTATATGACATGATTAGGTATAGTTTATTACTTTAATTATTTAATTCGTTAAATGTAAAAGTTATTTTTCCTTACATAATAATTAGATGTATGTAGCTAACTTTAAATATCAGTATTCGATTAAATAAATTTTATGATTAGATCCGTAATCACTTAAATATATAAAATAAAGGTTAATACAATTAATTATTTTTAGAGACAATACTAAAAATTTATCTTTGTAAATTTTTTAGCATTTATAATATTTAAATTCCTTTAAACATTTATAAATGAATCAATTAACGATTAAAATACATTTATATAATTAAAATTTTCGGTTTGAACGATTTAAAACATAATTAAAAGAAAATTATAGATAAACTAATAAAAATGAAAACAGATTATCAATATATTTACAATATTTTAAAATTTACAAACACCAGTAATGGTAGCATTATTTTACAAATTTAGTTTAAATTTTTTTATTGAATAATTTTTTACCTAGTTTTTGTATAATAATACTGTTCGGGATTGATGCAGTCCCATGGATTTCAAACAAACGAAAGGTCATACGCGCTGTCCGGCGTACAGACTGGCACGCACGTGCGGACTGGGACGCGCACTCGAGCGAATGTTTACAAACAAAACTCGGCAAGTCCGAGCAAGTTTACGATCCGAAATATAATATACTGTAAGATCACCCAAGGGTATTACTTCTACTTTTCTCTCGTCGAACATTCTCGAAGGTTCTAGATTTTCCTTCGACGCCTCGTGTAAGAATTAGTGCAACAACGACGATGCCTTGTTGCTAGCTAAGTGAGCCGCCGCGTGGATATATGGGACGCATGCGGCGCGCCTCGCTCTCTTGCTGAAGATACCACTCTCGCTGAAGATACCGCTTGCTGAAGATATCTCTCGCTGAAAATTATCTCTTGCCGTACCACCCTCGCTCAACTGCGCTTGCGGCTAACATCTTACCGTGACCCGACCGCAGTGACCGACCATAGTGAACCGATTCAATCATCTACCAGTAGAAGCTATGGCACATGGGTCTCGATCTGCCCCTCAGCAGGACCGCCATGGAACGGTCGGTATTTTCAGCAGAGCCGCCATGGAACGATCAAGCCTTCGGTTCGTGCGCGTATTCAAAAGGCTCATACGCTCATTTGTAATATCGCTTCGCTCTCACTCAAGCGTAACTGCCGCTCAGTGTATAGTATATTGTGAAGACGACGCGTGGCCATATTATCGGCATCATAGTTAAAATTACGCGTGTGCATACAAATAAGAAATCGGCAGATTAAATAGTGATTACAGTGAAGCCTATGGAATAGTAATCAAAGGAAAAATTAATTAAACAGCAAGCAACAGACTTGTCAACACCTTACAAGGTACCTATTTTTATTTTAATAAATAAACTAGTTACATCTAGCACAAGAAACCTGGGCAATTTTGCATCCCCTGACGCAGTCGACAGGTGATTAGCACGTGGTCGTGCATGCCTGAAATAGTCACTCGATGATGAGCACGTGGTCGTGCATTCTCTGAAATAATCACCAAGTGATGAGCACATGGTCGTGCATGTCCTGAAATAGTCACCAGGTGATGAGCGCGTGGTCGTGCATTCTTTGAAATAGTCACCAGGTGACGAGCACGTGGTCGTGCATTCTTTAAATAGTCAACTCAATGACGCAACAAGTCAAGGTCAGACTTCAGTATATCGACTGATCAACAATACGGACATTTTCAAGAAATCCTTAAGATTTCTAAGGTTTATAATAGATGATACTTGTGTGTGACTAGCTCTTCTACCATTCCCATAAATAAATAAAGATACAATTGATTACTTAATATATTCCATTAAACAACTTACATCATATCAAGTATAGTTATTCGTACATCAAGCATACTTTATTCAAATACCATCTTCTCATGCTACCTCACAAGCATGATTGACTGACAACACAAGCTGATTTTTACATCAGCATTACTTCAACTTCAAGATACTTAGTCATATCCATAGCATCTACAATAATTCAAGAATACAAGAATACACCCTCACTACTTCAATAGAATTATTTCTCTCTACATCAAAGTACAATATTGTTATAATTATTTACATTAATAAACATTGTTTTACTAAATACACGATATTGTTCAGCCTTATCATTTATTATTTCCTTTGAAGTTATCCTGACGAGAGACTAATGCACTGAACTATTGAATTGGTAGTTGAGCCATAAACTAAACATTTAAAATCGAACAAGTATTAAATAGCACTTTATCGCCTTAAAAAAAAAAACTTAACTGTAAGACATAATAAATTAACCATTTATTGAAAAAATAAAAATTTAATTACTTCTTATCAGATATTATCAAATAATATCTTAACTCCGATATGTTTAAGTAAAATAATAATTAAAAACAATTTTAAGAAAATAGAAAATAAGTTTAATTTAATTAAAAATATAATATTATTCAATAAACGAGAAACCTTTAACGTGTATTTTTATTCTCCACTTGTATTGAATTTTTTTACTTAAAAATAGATATATTAAA